TTACATTGCTGTATGGGGTATTACTAAACATCAAGCTCTTATTGTGCAATTTTCAGGAATTCAATTCTACTTCCTACTTTCCTCTGTTTCTATTCTACTGTTCTGACTTTTTAAAACTAAACTTATTGTCTTTTTATTTAAGTATAGCAGCATCTTACAACGACCCAACAAGAACCCAAAACAACAACAACAACAATAACAACAACAACAACAAAAACAACAACAAAAGCTTGTTCACCACAAAATATGACAGTTATCGATTTGTGGTGTCCCTTCTTGACTTCAATTTGGTAATTTGCAGTTGTCCACCACTTTCAATATGTCCACATGCAAAACGCAAGTGTTGAGAATTGATCCAAAAGAAAAAAAAACAAATCTTGAACTCTTGAATCTACCTTTCCTCTTTGCCTGCGCTGGCTGTGCTTTTCCATTTACAATCGTTAATAGCGTCTCTCTTAATTACATCTTCCAGCTGTGGTGCACATAGCAACAGGCAGCACATGCTACTGTTCATCACATCTGTTTATGTTAGACTGACTTTTTCCCTGTCTCCACTGCTTGGAGCACCACTGACTCCTCGGGCCGCCGTCACATCTGTAACCAGCCACAGACATTATCACCAGGACCTCAAGACCAGCCTGGGTGAGGAGTTAGACAGCTGTGCTCTCCAGCTGTGATTTGTGTAACTCGTTTAAAGCACAACTATCTGGCTGATTAATTATAACATCTGTCTGAGAAAGCGGCACCCTGTGGGCTCTCAAAAGTACCACACTGCTTTTCATCTCACAAGCTACTGGTAAAAGGTAGAAAAGCTTTACTGTCATCAGGGCGAAGGGGTTACACAACTAAAACATGTGACAGAGCAGTTTGGATTACCAGGTGCAGAGAGGATACGCTACACAGCTCTCTGTGTAGGCAAACCCACACTCAACTAAAACATTTCCTTGGCACTTGTCTATATCTGCCACACTCTTTGCTCTGATGACTGCGCTCAGTGACAGCGCTTCCAAAACATCAGTGCAGCTAAAAATGCTTATTGTTTATTCTGGATTAAACATAGCTGCAGCTGGAGCCTTATAAGAATGCTAGAAAAGTGTGTCAGTCTTAAGTTTGATTAATAATGTTTTACAGTTGAAATGAAACAACAGGCTAACATCTTCTGTCCCTTCTTCACTTTCTGACTAACAATAGCCTGTTCCTATTCCTGTCACTCTAAAGATCATTCATTTCTCTCTTGTGCAGCACTTTATGTCTTTTAACTGCCTTCATATTATTTTCTTCATTCAGCAAGTGCTTTGAAAATGCAATGAAATCTATAAGAGCTCCACCATGATGTTTCTTGTGCGTAATTAACAGAGAGAGAGCCAGGCTATTTCCAGTGTAGAGATGTTTGGCCGTCCACATCATCAGCTGACTATTCCCAACACAGAATAAAGCATTCAAAAACAAATAAACTCATGGTTATCCAGTTATAACCTGAATTTTTAACATTCAGACATTTGGGATGTGCACAGAAGGGCGATAGGACACCCGTAACCATAATGTCATGACAGCTTAAATGTGCTATATGTAAGATTTCTCTGGTGGTGCTGGTGGTGGTGGTGGTAATGGTCGCTAACTCGTCCATGCGTTGTCAGTTTCCTGTCTTAGCTCTATATTACTTATCAACTACAATTACCACCTCACGCTTGTATTGTAAGGAAACATGGTCACAATCTCCCCTTCCTGAGTCACAGCGTTGAATAATGGCCAGAGGTGTTTTTGCAGAACATCATGATGTCACAGTGAAGTTGACCTTTGTGCCAGAGGATTGAAATTCCCTCTGGGCGTTCCTGATTTATCACATTCACAAGAACGTGAGGTCACTGTGACCTTGACCTTTGATCTTTACCCACAAAAATCTAATCAGTTCATCTCTGTTTGAACATTTAAACAAATTCCCTTGAGGTGGTTTTAAGATATCACATCCCATATCAAGAGACCAATAATGTGTTTTGTGAAATCACAGCGACCTTGACCTTTGACCTTTGACCACCAAAATCTAATCCGTTGAGTCAAAGTGGATATTTATGCCAAATTTGAAGAAATAGTCTCAAGATATTACTGAGGTTTGAAAAAAACATAATGGGCCTCATTCACCAACCATTCTTAAGAGGAAATTTCTTCTTAAAACCCACTTACGCACTTTTTACACAGATTTTCTTATTTGGGATTTGTTCTTAGGTAAGAACAGAATCTACACACACTCAAGAGCACTCTTATGCACATTTGAGTGCTGACGGGTTTGAGCAAAATAAGTGGTTATTGCGTTTTCTTCTGTTCTACAGTTATATAATATTATATTATTTAAATTACAATAATATTCTTGTCATTTATAATATTTTTTAAAAAATAACTTCTGTTATTTTACAAAGCATTATGGTCTCTGAAAATAAATGACCACTACATTAACACTTAACTGCTTATTTGTGGCTCCCTTCCTGCAGCAGTACCTCCACTTCAGAACTATTAAAGTTCCTTTTGCGTTTGACCAAGAGTTTTCTTAAGAACTTTCTTAAGAGCAACTTAAGAAAGAATTTAAGAGAATACTTAAGAAGATATTGGTGAATGAGGCCCAATCTCTCCGTTACATGCCAGATGTTACATTAGTGCAAACGCATATTTGTTGACTTCAGTGAAGACAGGCAGCGCTTCACTCATAACAAACTCTGTCAATACAGGATCTAATAAATATGAATCATCATCCACAGGATCATGAAAGAAGATGCAGCACATCAGTTTGATTTTTGTAATAATGTGATGCTTATTCCATCCAAAGCCATAAGTCTGAGTCTCACACACACCAAACTCCACACACACACGTTAAACTGATCAGCAAAGTATTGATTATGGAGTCGGACACAATTCAGTTAACAGTCATAACCAGAATAACAGTGTGAGCTGCGTCACATTAAAACAGTCTGACTGAAAACTCTCCAGCTTGTGAGCAGACACATCCATCTTCAGTACATTGCACCATATAAAATCCAGGTTCTGAGAAAATCGCTGGAACTAATAACTAATTCTCCGCTCTCAGCTAACCAGGAGGTATCCTTCTTCAGATAGTGAACATTTCCACCCATTACTTCTGTGATTTATGCAATTTAAGGCACAAAAACAACGTTTCATGTTAATCTTCCCATCTACCCAAGATCTCAGTCAATTTTTTCATGTTTTCTGCACCAACTGTGCACCTACATCGGACTGAAAACATCGCTGGAAACCCGTCTACACCTTGACTGTGATTGTCTGGCTGAATTAACATCTAGCGACCAGACCAGTGAATAACCAATAAAATAAAAGAAATAGCTTGTCAGTATAGACCAAGCATATTTAACTTCAAACGCGTTTAATATTTGCATGAAACTGAAAATTCATATCAACTAAAGGTCGGTGGAGGAAAAAGCGAGACTTTGAAATTTAGCTACATTAGCCACAGTGAAGCTGTGGCCTGTGGGTCTGAGTGAGAGCTACAGTGGAAAGACGAGAGGAAAATGAGATGAGGAGAAGTCACATAACAGAGTGAGAGGGAAAGAGAAACCGACAGTTTTAATAATATCATGTAGGGGGAGTGGGGGTCTGTCGTTATGCTGAATATGTTATAGGTCCCATATTGGATAAAGTGAGATTTTTATGTCTTTTTTTTATTATAAAGCAGGTCTAGGTTCTATATTAATACTGTGAAAGTATCAAAGCCTCAGTCCACAGAGAAATGCACACAGCCTGTATTCAGAAACTGAGCCTTAAAATGAGCCGTCAGGACTTCTGTAACTTTGTGATGTCACAACAAAGCAGTCACCGCCCTCAGTCATGCCCCAAGCTCCGCCCACCTGGACCCACCATCCAACCTTGCAGGATTTGGTTTCTCTGATTGTTTACCTGGAATCTGCCATATTTTTATTCGATCACTGAGAAAACAGTCAGTCAGACCACAGACAGTCAAACAACACCGAACTATTGTTGCTAGAGCTCGAGAGAGAAGCCTGAGAGAGAGATGTAAAACTATGTTGAGATGGATTTTAATTCTTAAAACCACAAATATATCTTCTTATGGATAACACTTCAAATAAAACAGGAGAGAAGTGTGAAATATGGGACCATTAAAGACGAAAGAAATCAGAGAAATCTGGTCAGGATTTTAAAACTCCTGGCTCAGCCTTGTGAACCATCGTCTTTCCTGTTTCCTGTTTGAATCATTATGCCCAGGAAATATATTTCATCCTCTTTAAATCTAGATTAAACTTTTTTATTTAATGTATGTTACGTTATGTAATTTTGTTTGCAAGTAGCTGTGGTATAAGCAGGATAATACCCTCCACGTTCCAGGTTCCCTGTAATTGTTGGCATCATTCATTTTTTAAATTTCCATAGAGAGATAATTCTGCTCTTAATTTATTTACTGTTATTTGATTGAAGAATGTAAATTTAATTCCTTCCAGAAAGGTTGAACCACCCTTGTGTCTTCACTGAGACTGTAAACGAGGGGTGAAAGGTCACAGGATGATGATAGAATGGGTACAACCTTCACTTTTCACTCCCTCCTTAGTCTTGTCCTTGTTCTTTATTGTCCTTTCCCTATCTTGTATTTTATCAGCAGTGTCGTCACTCACTGATAGCTCTGACCTTCTTCAGTTTTTTGGGGTTTTTTTTGTTTTGTTTTTTACCAGTATTCATTATGTCTCACTGCTATACTATTCTTGCTGTAAGGAAGCACAACTAATGCTGGTGTATAAATAAATAATAAATGTATTAATAAATAAAAAATACAACAGAAAGCAAACATCTTCCAATTTAAAAAATAAATTCAATAAATAAATATTGAGTTGATCCACAGCTCAATATCAAAATTGGCTATTAAATTATTTATTCCCCAAAGTAATATTCACCAACAAAACAAACAATTTCCTGTTATTACCAACATTTCAGTGCTTACTCAGAGACAGTAAAGGGTTCATACTTACCAGGATCTGACTTGGAGAACGTGTCCACATCCAGAAGACTCCTGTGGAGACAGACAAAGAACAGAAATAAATTGATTCTTTCAGGCTTTTTTTTCACTTTATTTCTTAAATAACATTTCTTTTGTTCTTTGCTCTCCTGAGAGTTTCTAAAAGTCTCAGCTAAGCCCTAAAAGTAGTTAATGGGCAGATTTAAATTGCTCCCCAGATTACTGTGTGAAACCATCTCAAAATATCGTGCTGCCAACCTCTGCCCCAAAATGCAGATTGCATTTACACCAGGTTACTGATTAAAGGCTGATGAAGATGACCTTCAGGAGGAAGAAGATAAGGACGCAATAATAAACAAGCCATTTGCCTTGATGTTCCTGAATTAACTACTTACTGTAATTAATGTCTGCCATACTATCAAAGTCTCTAAAAGTCCCAATTGTTACCAATATGAGTGAACACACTTCACATTTTAGCATTGTTGCAAACATTAAGTGGAGGTTACTGAGACGCACTGACTTTAATGCAGGGCCTTAGTAATTAATTCATTATGAAAAACCAAAAAAGTGTAAGTTTCAGCAAAAATGTACATGCTCTGTACAACTCTCACGTTCAGGGAATCTGGTGGTGTGGTGGAATTTGAACATGTCCGTGTGAAAACTATAGATGTAAACTTACATCCCTTTAAAGCAGAAGTGTCCAGATTTGCAGCTCAGACTTCATTTGTAAGATACATTATGATGATGTCTGCGTTGAAAGCCCAGGTTGTTTATCATTTTATCTGTATTAAAATTTCATCTGATATATTTTTTTTCAAAATTCAGCCATGTTATGAACTAAACTGGGAAAAGACTGAATCAAATTTAAACACTGAGAAAATTAGAAGTGGGTGGAGCCTTGAGAGAAAAGAGCATTTTCTATGGGATTGTAGGGGGGAAAAAAGGTTTCTGTAGTGCACAGTTCAAAGTTATTGACCAAAATGTGAAAGTGTTTGCTGTAGCTCCGCCATGTGGTCAGTCGAGTTGGACTTCAGTTAGAGAGACTTGATTGATCAGGTTTGGCTGCTGCAGGTGTTCCTGAGATGCAGGAGTGTTTAAGAAATTGTTCCACATTTTGGGAAATTTACAAATTCTTTAAACTGAGAAGAAGTAGAAGTCAAGATCAGTCATGCATGGAAAGCTACAGTCAGCATTAATACTGGAAACAGGGGGAAACAGCTAGATAATAATCTATCTAATAATAATCTCCCTACCAGCAACTCTAAAGCTCATTACAGAGGGTGATGTATGCAACTATTAGACTATTTAGTCCCACATATAATTCCCCCGTAAAACCACAGCTTTTTGTTTGTACCTCTCGGTTTTTGTTCAGATTAAACTAAGGACATAAAAACATGTTAATCAGTGAGCTGTGAAGGTGCTGGTAGGTGGATTTTGTTACCTGCTGACAGAATCAGGATAACTGCTTCCTTCTGCTTCCTGTCTTTATATCAACCCAAGGTAACCAGCATGTGTTATTATACAACCAAATATCTTGGAAAAACCCAATAATTCAAGACAAAAAAAAAGGATGTAAACTTGATAAATACTTAAGATGTCTGAAATGTAATTTCACAAACAACTTGATCATCTCTCTCCTCTTCTGGGCTCAGCCCCCCCCCCTCCCCAGGTTTTTGGGGGCTGTCTAACTCAGGTGTCTGGCCATTTCAAGCCTGTCTGATCTCAGGAGGGACCATAAAGGACCAACAGCCATTCATTATTCAGGAGTGGATCAGAAAGACAGTCAGTGCACCACCAGGCAGGCAGGCAGGCAGGCAGGCAGGCAGGCAGGCAGGCAGGAAGGCAGAGTGACAGTCTGCAAAAAAATACCCTGACTGGGTGTTTACTGGTGAGCAGAGCAGCCAACCATTCAGCTAAGGCAGCCTGTCTCAGCCACATGTACGCACTGGTTCTGGTTCAGGGTTATAAAATCAGTTTTTAATAATGAACGTACATTTCACTGGCAGCATTTCTAGCTTCATTTTGTGTAACAATTCACATCAACATCGACAGTTCCACCTGTGAGTGCCTGTGATTATCAGTGGTGGTCCACTGGGCCACTGGCTGCAAAGAAACCACCAGAGTCTGAAGGATTTCTAGTCACTTTCATGCATATTGGTGATGGGATTAACCATTTACCTGAGAGCAGAGGGCATCTGAAAGTAAAAGGTTACGCATGAGAGGGAAAGCACTTAAACACACTGAGAGGTCTGCTACACCCAGAGCACCTGATAGACAGATAGATAGATAGATAGATAGATAGATAGATAGATAGATAGATAGATAGATAGATAGATAGATAGATAGATAGATAGATAGATAGATGTTCTTTTGGTTTATACAAGCAGGTATTGGTGTTACATCAGATGAAGAAAAAAACCCTCAATATTCACATATTCACATTCACCACACACAGTTAATTGAAATGACTTTGATGGAGCATATCGGTGAAATTTGACGCGACGCGGGTGAAATAACAGACTTTAAATCTGGGTTTAAAGTGGCATATATCTACATGTATGTAAATATATGAGAGTTACACCTCACCTGCACGACACGGTAACTTCTATTTTAGTTGCAGGGACTCTGGTGTTGAGAGGGTCGAATTCCCCTATTGAAGCCATCATCTCGGCTCAAGACGCTGATGAGCCTCCGCGAAGAAAAAAAGAAAGAAGAAACAAACAGGTCTGATCATTCACAGCGGGATCGTGATCGCGGTAAATCCATTGTCGAGATCTTCTCCCCCCTCCTGGTTTGTTCCGCTTCTGGAGCAGAGAGCGGCGGAGGAGAGGAAAGGAGACTGGGGAAAGAGACTGACGGACGGGGAGAGAGAGAGAGAGAGAGAGAGAGAGAGAGAGAGAGGCGTTGAAAGTTGTGAGGCAGATTTAAAGTTCATCCATCCTTCATGCGTTCACGGTGCGCTCCCCTTGTCTGTCCGGCGCCGAGGAGGGGGAGGAGGGGGAGGAGGAGGAGGAGGAGGAGAGCGCAGCCAACCGGAGGCACCGGCAACAGCACGGTGCTTCCTCTCCCCTTGCCTCTGTGTGTGTCATTTATTCATTTACATGTAGTCACCTGTTACCTAGGCTGAAAACGACATGGTTCACTGATTTTTTTTTCTAGGCTTAGACGTGCAAAAATTATAAAGCTTTTATTTCACGAATAACCTGAACCTCCTCATACCTTCTCTCTCCTACTCCTGTCTCTGCATCTCCTCAGGACAAATTTCTCTGTGTCGAAATATGGCCTGATGATTAACTGTGAGCATTTTCTGTTCTGTGGCACCATTAAAATGCTTAAGTTTTATATTTAATAAAACTGATAAATATGCATTCAGATACACAGCCAAGTAGACAGTAAGATGATAAATTATACGCCCATGAGTGCATTATGTGATTGTGGTATACTGAGGCATAAAACAGTCATTAAAAACTTCACAGTATAATGAGGCATACAAAATGATAAAAGCCTCATAATATAGTAAGGCATGAAATGTTAAAACAGTTTAAAAAGTTACAAAAAAAAAAGTAAAACAGTTACACGCCAAGACAGTAAGACTTCAATCAGTTTCAGCGTATCAAGTGTCAGTCTGCTCTGTAAATGATTCCAGACAAATGGGGTGTGATATATGAAGGCTGCCCTATAAGATTGGTAGGCTATTTACTGCAGGAACATATGTACTCCCTGTACCCCACGTCCCGTGCACGGGATCGCATGGCCGCGCACGGTATGAAACCCCCTTTTTTTTCCGAGAATCACCAAAAATAAATCATTTATCATAGCCAGAAGCTGGAAAGACTGAAAGAATCGTCGGATTATCAACTTTCCTACGGTCGTGAACTAACCATGTGTGATATACGCTTCCGTCAGAAAATGTAACAGAATTTAAGCTTGAAATTACAATCGTTCCTTAAAATCGCTTCTGTCTACATGCTTTTTAAAAAAAAAAAAAAAAAAATCCCCAAATAAACAGTTTTTTAGCTCTTGCTAAATCGTTTCAAAACTGTTAAAACTACGCCTCTCCGAGCAGCCATGATAACGTCGATATCAGCTGACCGACACTACGTCACACTAACGTACGGAACTTACCAGGATTTGTTTACAAAGAGCAGAGCGTGTCTGACCGGATGAGGCAAGACACGAAACATAAAAAGTTTGAATTGTAAAACACATTCATCATGATACAAACAGGATATCGACTGAAGGAAACCGTAACTCCGGATATCGAGCGAGTCAGACGAGGATTCCGAGCCATTTTTAATCATGAAAGGACATGTGAGTTGGGCTATATCATCCTATTTCACGCCAATTTCATCATCACAGCATGATGTATGTGTATAATATGTGTATGGGTTATATATATATGAATATCAAGATAGCTTCTGACAGATTTCCAAGTGAGTCAGAGGGGATTTTCAATCGCAATCGCAAGTATGAAATAGGTCCAGAAAGTGTGGTGTGGCACCGTGCCTGAAGTTAGACAGGAACTGATGCGGACTGGCATGACCATGGTTCCTCTGCATGGCTGTAGTAGTAGTGTTGTATATAGTTGCTTTGAATAATATGTAAGTAGTTGAAGGCGCCTGGTTTTTACAGTCGTAAACATGTCAATAGTTCAGTATGTGTAGCAAGTGGAGCTCCCAGAATTATTTTTCCTTCATTCCTAACACTTGAGTACACAATGTTGCATATATAACCTAGATTTTTATTTTTTTTTCATATAAATCATCAAAGAAAAACATATTTAGTTTTATTTATTCTAAGTGATTTATTGCACCTTATACGTGCTATGCTGCACAAAAGACATTTTGAACTCTCTCTACTTCTAGCCATGGCTGTGCTGTTTCCATTGAGGTACAGGACTTTATATTGCAGTGAAAAATTAGCCCACAGTGAGTAAAACGCCCAGAAACTGCTTGGGGTACTGGGGATATAAAGTCAGTCAGTCCTGAGAACATGACTTGGGCATAGGAGTGACGATGAATAATGTGGTATATTCTGGTGTAACCCTTTGTAAATGAATAGATATTAGTGGTGATCTCACATGATAGATAGGGATTAGTCACCGAAGTATCATCTCTCTCAAACCAGCAGATTCTAACATTTGAGAACCTAGTGCCAGTGAATATTTGACATTTTTGTGTAAAAAAACACAATGTAAAAACAAAATTTCAATCAGTTGATCATTTCAGCTCTACACCATCGGTTGGTTTCCGGTGCCTGTGGGAAATTATGAAACTGACATATATAGTTGGGGTCAGTAGGCACCCAACAACAGATTTTCTGCCCAGGGGGTCATTACAGGGTTAGTCCAGCCGTGTTTAAATGCTGTGCAACAATAAGCTGGTTTATTTGTTACCGTGTCACTGAATGTTTGAATTAATTGTACAGTGTCTCCAAAGTTCACTGAAAATGAAATGAAAAGCAGATGTGGTGACACTTGATAATAAGGGCACACAGCATATATTTAAGCAATGCCTACCATTACTGATGTAATGCATGAATATACAGTATGTAGTATGTGTAGATCCTACATTTATTTACTAGAAACAAATGATCAAGTCACCGTGACTTTATGTGATTAATGGATCATCAATTAATAATAGTTAATTCACAGGTACATACATGAATTGATAATTGCTATACCATTTTAAAACAATTATTTTAATTGATGTATTTACATTGGTTTTGTTTTGTTTTGCATTTTCATCAAACTAGTGGTCAAATGCAAACATCATGTTGTTGCCTAACAGTATGACAGAGACTGGGCTTTATTTTCTATGGGACCAGGTCATTTTGATCATTTGTTCATAGTGAGCAACATAAATCATAATGATTCAGCTGTTACTTTAACATTACTTCTATATGATTTGCACTCTTATTGTAACATCATAACAGACAACTCTGGCTTAGGAGGTGGAGCAGGTCACTCATCAGTGTGAGACTGTGTGTGTGTGTGTGTGTGTGTGTGTGTGTGTGTGTGTGTGTGTGTGTGTGTGTGTGTGTGTGGCTTTTAGTGCAGTCCATTATAAGTGTTACCACAAATGCATTGTGAGCCAGTCTTTGAATGACGTTCATTTTTGAATGACATAGAATTCTAACAATTATATGGATTTATTTTTTTTTTCATTGCATAGCTGCAGTAAGACACTGAAAAAAAGATATTAGACATGAAAAGACGCGTGGGAGATACTGGGAATAGAAAGGTCTGCATATAAAGCGGTGTCTTCATTGTTTAGTGCAGGGACTCCCTTTCATTTTGGAATAGATTTATAAAACAAGCTAGGCAGTTATTATATTTCATTCATTGAGTCATGCAAATACAGGTACCCAGCTCACGTAGCTTTATTGACCAAGTCTGCTGACACATACAAGGAATTTAATATGCTTAAAGAAATACAAATGCACACTGTGCAAAAGACAAAGTTACGATCCAGATAAAGACATACAGCTAAACAAAGTTATCAAGCTAATTAAATACAAGTTCAAGAAATGCAGAAATAAATACTAAATGAAGTGATTCTGTTTACAGTGAAACCTGGGCTTGATGTCTTCTGGCCCAGCATACACCCGCTTCCACGGCCCAAATCTGGCCCATATAAGATTGTCAGATGCTGACGTGAAAGCTGAAGCACCTGATTCATAAACATCAGGAAACATCTCGGATGAACATTTTGTGCCAAGTCACAAAATGTTCATACAGAATGTTTTTGAAAAAATGTTCACTGAAACTAATATGTATTTTGTTTGTTCTACAAAATCTGCTCATAGCAACTAAAGCATGATTAACATTTCTTAAGGTTACGTTAAGGCACTGACAACTCTTGGTTCAGATCAGGGAAAGTTCACAGTCTTCGCCAAAAACGAAACTCATCAGCAGTGACATTGATATAACTCATCAAAACCCATCTTGAATGCTCAAGGAAATCTTTTTTTTTTTAATGGGTTATAATTTATATTACTGATGGGTAATGTAAATATTTCTCATGTTAGTGTAGAAAAGTTGAGAAAGTTGTGTAAGAGATGATGGATGATTGATCAGAAAGCTGGAGGTAAAAGAGACGAAATCACTACCTATGAGTTAACAAACCTTTTTTTTTTTTTATTCCCCCAGGAGACTTCCCTAAATGGGTTGTACTTTTCTATTTTTGTGACAAATTGTGACTACTCTGTGTCCATCATGCACTTTGGTGACATTTCGTTTCAGTTTCAACAAAGGTCATTTGGTTTCTGGAGCTGCACACCAACTTTTACTTGAACAGGATGTTTGAGGTTCATTCACATGAAAGATGCATTATGTATGATGCACTACACTGATTAGCTGGCGGTACTACACTTAAATGTCCTTCATGTCTGATCAGTGTTTCTGGTTGGATGATTATAAAACATCTGTGTTGTGTGTGTAGAAAAGGACACTTTTTGGGGAGGGGGTCAGGGTGGAGGTTTGCCGTAAAAGGCAGCGGTCATGTTTAACACGGTCCAGTATCCCCATGAATTACTAATCTAGTCTAATTCCAACGTTCCGGGCCATAACAGGAAGGAGAGTGCTTTTTCGTGTATCTTAAAGTAAAGGTCATTCAGGGTCATGTATCTCGTCTGACTTTCATGCAGGAGGCTGAAATTTGTGTCCCGCAACAGACCTGCAATAAACGTCAACCACAACTTTGATCTTTCCCTAACCATAACCAAGCATTTTAGCCGCTCAACTGTAACTATACTTTAACCACAATTTATTTACAATAATCCCAGTTATTCCCCCACCTTAA